ACTGTTGTGAAAAGTAAAAGGTGTGCGTAAGTATGTGTGGGGAATAACCAAGTACGAAAAGTCTCTGCGCTTCCATATGAGCTACATTTTGCTCAATCGACATAGCACACCACGGTGCGACACCGTGAGTTCGACTGTTGCCAGTTTGGTTGGACAACCTTACCCACACCACAATTCACCGTAACAGCCACCATTTTTAGTCACGTGTGATGTGTAGGTCAGCACGGGAGATTCAAAAGAACTAAGCCATATTTGCTTTAGTTTCTTCGCGTAACTATGATTCAGACNCACCGTAGATTGCCCTCGTAGCGATCAACATACCAGCACAGACAGACAACCCGTTGTCTACACCCAGACTAAAAGGGAGAGGCAGACAGTCTACTGTTACTATTTACTTATCAATTAATTCTGTTTGACCACCTACGTCGTGACATGAACAAAAAATAACATAAAGTGGACCATAACGAGACAAACAAAAATAAAACACGTATACATCCAGACTGATACTCTTGTGCTCTCTCACATCTTTTATCTTCGAGCAATGGGCCGCGAGACTGGGACGTGAGCTGGTAGTGACAGATCAATCGAACAAACATGCAGCCAATTTGCGAACCATCGCACCAATCGAGGTCGGCTCAGACTGGACCGGGATATGGTCAGACGACGATCCCGTGGAATGGCGGATTCACAAAACATACCAAAGTGTGTAAAAAAACAGTTGAGGTCGTTTTGACCCTAGTCTTCTGTGTGTGTGTGTGTGTGCGTGCGTGTGTGCGTGCGTGCGTGCGTATGCACATATGTCTATTTGCGTCTCAATTCGATAGCTTTGATTGAGCAAGGCACAGACGAAGCCGGCAAACTCAGAGAACCATAAACGCGGTCATCAGATCAATCACTCACAGGAAGAGACAGAGTGAGAGAAAAAAGTTTGACATATGACACATTGAAACGTCTTTTTCGCTTTTCGCCATCTTCATCTTGTCCCCCTTCTTCTCAGCAGTTCTAGTCTGGATAATTGATTTATCTATCCAAGGAATGAGTTAGACAAAGGCGTATAGCCGGGGTAATAAGTTCCAATTTGAGCTAATACTAACTGCATTTTACGAACGATCAATTTGTGGCTCTGCTGAAAAATCTTAGTATAGCAAGCATCCAAATCTCCGAAAAATTTTAAAAAGGAAAGAACAAATCTTTTGAGTGATGATATAATCAAGTGTGCGGTTGAGTAAACCGTCAAACTTTCTCTGTATGCCCTATTTTCTCCTCCATCGTCGCCAACTGTAGTCCATTTAGGATGCAGAACAGTAAACTAAGAGAGGCTCGTGGTAACCAGCACGCTACAGAATAGGCTAGCGGCTCGAATATAGTTTCAAACATGATTGGTCGGTGCGCATTAGTGATCCCGGTTGATTGTATTAGTTGAGAGACTTATCGTGGAATTCAGATCAATAAACAAGGCGACATTATTGTTGCGCAACTGTAAACGCATAGCAGGAATTGCAATATACTGCTCTATCATCGTCCTATGTTGAGGCTAGG